TATATAAATAATAAATAAATGAAATACATATTGATAAATGTAAATTAAATAATATAAGTAATCATTTAATAAAATATTTTGAAAATAAAATGAAAGATAAGAAATTAACAATTAAAATAATAAAAATTATTAATATAAAATGAAATGAATATAAACATTTAAAATTAATGAAAGAAAATGGTATAATTGTATGAATTAACATGTCATTAATTATATTGGAATAATAAATTAAAATAATATAGTATTTGTAATGATAAAATACTAACAATTAAATATATAATATTAAATTGTATTATAACTAAAAGAATATACAAAATGATAGTTATGATTTAATAATGAATAGATATTAAGAATAACTAAATAAAATATAAGATAAATATAATGAAAGAAGAAGAAATTGAGAATAAAATGAAACATCTTCAATAAAAAATGAGTAGAATCAAAATAAGAATATAAAATAAAGAAATGAAGTGATGAAAAAAGATATATAATATTTAATAATGAACAAGAAATAAATAACGAAGATAAAATAATAGAAATTAATATATAAAATAAAAGTAATTTCAATAATAATAATAAATAGAATAATTAATAAAATAGTAAAAACAAACAATGAACAAAGTATAATAAAACAATATGAAATAATGATAAGATATATAATAAATAATAAACATGAAATATCTAGTGAAATAATTGAGATAGAGATATAAAAGTATTTCATGAACAATATATTTAATAGAATGAAATCAAATAAATAAAATGAAATAGAAAAATCAAATATTAATTGTTAATTGATAAAAATTTTTATTAATTTGACAGATGAAATGTCATCAATTAATTATTAGATCACTAATAACCATATGAAAAAAGCTACATAAAATAATACTGACAAATGAATATAAATAAGAAGAGACTATAGGAGAAGAGCGAAAATAAAAACCAACAACTAAAACGTCATCATATTAATTTTTAATTTTCATTACATTTAACTAATTCAACAACACAAAAAATGTCTTAAAGAATTATTTATAATTAAAGAGCTAAGAAACCACAACAAAGTTAGTTAACAAATGTCATCTATAACATCAAATAATTCTTACAATATTATTTTTATTTCATCTCTTGTTTTTTTTATCTTGTTATCTTTAATAAAAATGAGAAAAACTAAAATTTTAGAAGGGTTAAGTAGAATAGTTTAACATGGTTTTTACTTATTTAGTTCGTGGGGAATATCTTGTTTATGTTGGGATTGATAAATATGAGAATGAAGAACTTATCAAGTATGCACTTCCCAATGACTTATGGTTTCACGTTGATAGTGAATCATCAGCACATGTTTATCTCCGAATGAAAGAAGGAGACACAATAGAAACTCTCCCAGAAGAAGCATTAGAAGATTGTTGTCAATTGGTTAAATCAAGAAGTATTAAAGGATGTAAATTACGTAGTGTTAATATTGTGTACACACCAGCAAGTAATTTAAAAAAAACAAATGGAATGGACATAGGACAAGTTGGGTTTCATCAAGAGAAATTAAGAAAACTCAGAAAAGTTATTAAAGACAATTCCATTGTTAATAGAATTGAAAAAACTAAACAAGAAAAAACATTAGAAGAACATAAAAAAGATTGGTTTGATTATCAAAAAGAACTAAAATTACTTCGTGCTAAGGAATACCAAGAAAGAGTTTGTTTAATTTATGACTATTTTACTAATCAAATATTTATTATCACAGAAACAAAAAGAGGCTGAAGATATTAGAAGAACTAAAGAACAACAACGCATTAGTTCTTATGCTGATGTATTTGAACATATGGATGAAGAAAATGAAAATAATGATAACAACTCAGATGATTTTATGTAAAAAAACCAAAAAATATTAATTTAAAGAACAATGGTTTTTTTCATTTACCAGTTTTGTTCTATCCATTTAAATGTATCAGTCAAATCAAGATTATCGCCCATACTTTTAATTAGTTCAACATCTTTGCAATAGTCAAGGTCAATTTGGTATGGTAATTTAGGATTTAATCTGAAGAACCTCTCTCCTAATAAATATTTTCCTTCAAATTCAATAAATGATTTTCTTGATTCAATTTGTAAATCAGGCATATGAAGAGTCCATTTAACAGGTCCAGCTTCTCTTACCTCTTCTTCTGGAATATATGGAATTGCTGGATATCCTGCTCCAATTGAAAGAATTGATATATCTTTAATATCAACATTTAATCCATACTCACCTATAACATATGATAATACTCCACCACATGGTTCATTAATAATAACTCCCCCATCTAAATGAGCATTTACACTCCCAAAATATCCTGGAGCAGCTGCAGATTGAATACATACTTCTGTCAATGAATATGGAACTTCTTCTCCAAGGAAATTATTATAAAATTTTGCTAAACTTGTTCTGTGTGGATCATCTTTTCCAGTATCAGTAAGATAAGATGGAATACATACTTTTCTTGTGAGTTTATTCATTGTTAAATCTCCAAACACTTTATCCCCCATAACAAAAAGAAATTTGTTTGAATATTGATGCCCAACAATTCCTCCTTTATTAATAATTCTAGAAAATGTTTCACAAAGCATATCTTCCATCATCTTTTCAACTGACATAAGTCATAACCCAATGCAATTGCACACA